CCTCCTTCCTTTCCTCTTCACTTCCTTTTCTCTTACCTTCCTTTCCTCTCTACTTCTTTCTCTGCCTTCACACTTTTTCCATTGCCCTTCTTTTCCTTCTTTCCTCCTTCCCACTCTTGTTTTTTTCCTTTTCTCCCCTCCCTCCCTCCCTGCCTCCTTCCCTCTCTCCCTCCCTCCCTCCCTTCCAGCTGGGGCACTCTGTACCCTGCTGGGGGCAGTTTTCTTATGGGACAGCAGCCTTTCACTGAATCCAGGGCCTCTGCAGCTGGAGGAAAATGAGGCCCAGCCAGGGGTCTCACTGGGGGATGGGTGGAGCCCAGCCTTCCCTGTGGCCTTCAGAAGGGTGCACGGTAGAGCGCATGTGCACGCCCTGGCCCTGGTGAAGTCTGGTTCCACTCCCTGTGGCAGTGGGGCCCATAGCACAGGAGACCAACCCGGAGGGTGTCCAGCCTCCTGCGAGCATCTGTGGCCAGGGACAGGGGTGGCAGGCCCTCAGCAGAAGTGGGGTCTTGACCTCCAGAGGCAGAGAGGCTGCTGGTCTACACTCGGCTGAGTGACCTGTGGATCCAGGAAGAAGAGGTGTTCTTCCTATCTTTCGAGAGGGCACACGCGGGCACAGAGCTCTGGCGTCAGGGCGTGGTGGTGTCTTTCCAGTAACTGCCACATCTAGATTGCTGTACAGATGTCGCTGACCTAAGCGGGCTCCGCCCCAACAGTCCCACCCTATACTGAAAACTGTAAGAAGACAGGGTGGCCACGACACCAGGCCTAGCAGGCCTTCCAGCCTGGCCTAGTGCGCCTCACACGTGCCAGAGCCCTGTGCCAGCCTCTGGAGGGCGGGCACATGGTGTTGAATGTCCCACAGAACAACTGAGACCTGTGCCCAGGTGTGCTGACCACCCAGCACTTTGTGGCCTGGCTGTCCCTGTGACTAGACAGTAGGCTTGCTGCCGTTGCCTCTGTCAAGTGAGACTACCCTACCAGGACCTCAAGCCTGGGGCGGGCAAAATCAAAACTCAAAGCGTGGCTCTACTGCCCATGTTTAGCTCTGTACTGTCAGGCTAGGGCAGTGCAGCTGGAGCCAGGCAAACTGGGAACTCTGTGTGCTGGGCTTGCCCGGCTGCGGACGGCCGGACCCGCTTCTCAGCCTGCAGGCTTCTGCGGTGCCCGGCACTAGTCCAGTGACTGTACAGTCTCATCATGAGAGTGGCATGTGCTCTGGGGTCTCTGGTCCTGCAAGGACTGATGCCTTGCCAGTGCAGCTAGGAAGTAGGGTGAAGACTCCGGCCGCATGGCGTCCCCTAGACATCCCAGAGCTTGCTTAATGTCCCTGTCCCCAGGCTCTGGGTATGGCTTTGCAGTCACTGTAGTGAGATGCCTGGTAGTGAGCAGCTAAAGAACAGAATCTTCAGGCTCCCATTCAAGGTGGGGTACCCCATGTTTGTGAGCAAGGGGCACAGCAGCCATCAGGGCTAGAGATTGAGGTGGAATGATCAGAAGCAGTAAGGGGGAGACTGACAGGTCCTGCTGGCCCTGGAGGGCTGCCCAGTGACCTTGGGGCTCCCAGCAAACCCCCCACTGCTTCAAGGGCCCACTGCTCCCCACAGCACTGCCTGGACACCAAGCTTTGGCACACGGACTCTGGGGCACCCTCATGGGTTCCAATCATGGCTCCCCTCAAAGTGGCTGTGTCTCAGGAGAGCCAGGTCCCTGCCCATCCTCTGTGTCCCCCAGGCCTTCAGTGCCCAGCCTGACAGCAGGAGTGGGCACCACCCAGTGTGGAGAAGGGTTGGCAAGCCTCCTCGTTTCCAAGCCTTGGAGACCAAGGCATGGACATCACCGCCAGTAGCGTGGGCAGAGCCCACCAAGGAAACCCAGGCTGCCGGGCGCCGCTGTCTCTCACCGGCACAGGGACGTCCAGGCCATGGTTCCTCCGGTCATGGGAGGGACGTGGGCCACATGGCCACTCTGTTTCCTTCCAGCTTGGGTGCTCTGTGTCTACAGGGGGGCTGCCTGGACACGACACTCAGGCCACAGCCTCTGGGAAGCCAGGTCTCCCTCCTGCTGTGTCCTCACCCTGCCCGACCCTTCCACAGCACATGGTCAGCCACAGTGGTGGCTGGAAGTGGCTGGGCCTTCCCTAAGTGTCAAGACCTCTGCCAAGGCATCCTGCGGATCTCACATGGCCCTCCAGGCCACAGGGAGCCGAGCTGGCCTGGCCCTGCTGGACGCTGCCTCTCCTCATCCAGAGAAGGTGCTGCGCCAGTGTCCCACAGTGGTGCAGTCAGGATGGGGCGGGCATGACAGCAGGACAGCGTCCAGCCCAGGGGCCTTTGACTCTGCCCTCTGTTGACACAGGGCTGCAGGCACTGCCCTTCTGCTCCAGTACGCAGGCTGTAGACAGGTGGCTGAGGAGGCCGGGGGCCTGTGCCGGGCTGTGCGGCCCACCCCTGCTTCCTGACGAAGCTGGACAGGATGCTCCTCTGTGCAGGGCCCAGCTGTCCCTGGTGACGCTCAGCCCCTCAGCCCAAGGATGGCGGCAACGGTTCACGCACACAGGCTTCCCACAGCTCTCAGAGGGAGGCAGAGGGCGAAGCCGCACTGCTTGGAACCTGTGTCCACGGCTGGCCAGGGCCATGGCCTCACAGGAGGTCCCAGAGCTCACGGTGGCCCTGAGGCCTTACTGCCCAGCTGTAGGCACAGGCTTCTGGGAAGCACTGGGCTCCGACCCTCCTGTACCTGGTGCCACACCAGGTCTCAGGTTTGTCTCCAGGGCTGATGACTCTGCCAGCTCAGTAATCAGAAGCAGGGCCTGAAATGCCAGCCAGAGGGGATTCTTCAAGGACCTCAGTATAATGAACCTAAAGTGACTTATTCTGTACAATGGTAGGACCAGGCTAAGGCGTCGGGGCTGGCAGGCCTGTTGTCACACCCAGCCCTGGGGAGCAGGGAGCGGCCCTCACCACCAGTACAAGAGCCTCGAGGGTAGCCTGTATTCTCAGCTCTGCTTCTCTCTGCGGGAGGGGACCCGCTCCCTCGGCCTCTTGCTACCCAGAGGAGACAGTGTGGCAGCCAGGCCAGCACCGTCACTGTGGTGCGGGTGTCGGGACCATTCTGGCTCGGGAATAGGCTCAAGCCCTTGGTGTGCCCTACCCCAGGGGCCCTCGAGTCAGAGAGTAGAATGCATGCCCTTCAGTTGGCCAGCGCTGAGCTGCACCTGCCGCACTCTGAGGTGAGTGGCCACCAGCAGTCCAGCCCTTTGCAGCAGCTGCAGCGCCTCTCACAGCCCCAAAGCCTCTGCCAGCCTTCGGCGCTTTCACCAGAAATGGCGGTTCCTGTTGGCCTGGGCTGTGGCGAGAACCAGCACACAGGCAGGGCGCCACAGCCAGCCGGAGCCCACGCAGAAGCACATACACCCCAGGGCCAGAGCAAAAGCTGCATGTGGACATCTCAGGAAGGCTCCTCCTCCCGGAAAACAACTTTTGACAGTGGAGGCGAGATCCAGCAAACTGTACTAACACTCTCCTCACGCTGTGTTGATATAGGCATCTCTCTGCTTTGCTCCTTTGCTGAGGACCTGCTGAAAGCCAAGCGTTGCTATACAGCAAAAGAGTTTGGCGAGATAGCTCCGTGGCCTAAGCACCTGCCGGGAAAGCTCAAGGAGCCAGGTTCAATCCCTAGTACCACATTCGGTGCTGGCCCTGCCCCAGGGCCTGCCAAACTGGAACCGGGTGTGGTGTGCATGCCTGTAATCCCAGCTCTGGGGAGGCTGAGACAGGAGGATCACTACGAGTCTGAGCTGTGTAGTGAGACCCTGTACCAAGTGCATAAAGTTTTAAAGAAGTTTGCTTCAGAGCCCTGTTCAAAAGGGGATCTAAAACATTTGGAAGTGAAGTTGATTACATTTTAAAATATTGTGTGAGGGGCTAGAGATTTGGCTCAGTGGTGGAATGCTTGCCTAGCAAGTTGGAAGCCCTGGGTTCAGTCCTCAGCACCAAAACCAAAAAACAAACCTCTCCTAAAAAACAATTCAACAACAACAACAAAAAAAAACCAGTAAAATAAAAAAGAGCAAAAACAAACAA